GCACCCCGAGACACACAGCCACTCCCCTGCAAACACGCAGCCCAGCACCTCCACAAACATAGAACACCTCCTGACACCCAGCTGCCCCGCGTCGCACACAGCCCGAACACGCCCCTGAACACACCGCCGCCACATACATGCCTACCCACACAGGTATGTGCGGCCCTAATGTTTAACCAAAACAAACATTTTGTGACCTCCCAGTGTACACCCGCACACACGAAGCACAGCCACAGGGACGCCCCCTCCCACCCCAGCACCTCCCCGGATGTACCCCGGACTCGGCTGCAGCGTCTGCAGCTCTGAGTCCCGCCACCTCCCAGCACCCGGATCGCCCGAGAGCCCGGCACTCCCCCAGCTGCAGCCAGCACCCCCCAAACGCGTCTGCCCAGCCTTCCACACCTTTCCAAGCACACGGCCCACCCCCGTACACGGGGCACACTCAGTGCCTCCACACTCCTTCAGATGAGAGCACCCCCTGTAGCCACACCAGTTACCTCACACACTCGGATAGCTTCGGTCCTAGTGTATCTCTAAACAGGTAACTCCCCCCGACCCCCATCTCATGTACTCTCTCAGACACACACACACACACACACACCTGCTTTCCCCAACCAGACCCCAAGCCTCCTCCAAAGGGCAGTCCTCTGTGCATCCCCAACAAGCTCCAGCTCCAGAACTTTCCTCAGCCACTGAGAGCCCAGGGACAGCCCACACGCGCCTCCCAACACCGATCCCACACACGCACCCAGACAGCCTCGGCCCAGTTCCAGCCCCGCACACCTTCACCCCTGAACCCCCACCTCACACCCCACCTCAGTCTGCCTGCAGCCGCACTCCCACCATCACGCATTCCAGCACACCCTCCTCCCAGCACTCCCCACCGGGCTCTCCCCAGACGCCGCCCCCCTCCCCAGACAGCCCTCGCCTGCACACACAATCCCTCACTCCTGTGTGTTCTCTCTCTGTCTCTGCCTCCCAGGCCTCCTCTGCCTGGGGAGGCGTCCCCGCCCCTCTCGCTGCCCCAGGCCTTTCATTCCTGGACAGTGAGGCTGTGCATCTGGTTCAAAGCTGCCCCGCCCCAGACCCTGTGTGCGGGCACCCGGCCTGGGCTTGGGGGGCTCGGGGCCTCTCTGGGGGCTCTTGGCACCTGGTCACTCCGGCCTTTCAGCCAAGAACTCGGAGTACCTGGCTCTGCCCTGGCTGTGGCATGTGGGGGGCGGGCAAGGGGATTTACCCCCAGCCTGTGCCCTCTCGGGTGCTTGCCAAGTCCCCCCCCCGCCCCCCCCGAGCTCACCTGAGAGGGCCGTGGGCGCCAGGAAGAAAGACCATGGAGGTGCTGGCTTGACGGCTCCCCCCACCCCCATCGGGCTTGGGGCTCGGTCTCCCTGGGAGTCAGTTCCGACAGTGAAGGTTACTTGACTAGATGCATGATTTTAAACGGAATCTCCGCCATCTGTTCCACCCCCTAATTACAGATGCACAGAATCCGCCTCAGAGGGCAGCGTGAGGGGAGTGATTTAGAGGCTGGGCTGCTTCTGCCCGCATTAGGGCTGGGGAAACTGGGGGGCCGCTGGGTATTGCTCGCTGCCTCCCCCCCTCCCCCCAGTTACATCTCTTTCCCAGGGGCTTCTCAGGCCTCATCTGTTGCTGGAGGAAGGCTCCGAGAAAGGTTCCCCTGACCCCCAATACCTCACAGATGAAGCAACTGCAGTGCTGGGGGGGGGGGTGTCCCCAAGACATCCCCCGTGTCCAGGCCCCACGTCCTAGGACACAGGCTCCATTAGAGCCTTGAAAAATTCAGTGGATCGATCTCCTGCCTGCCTCCTGTGCCCTGGGGAGCCACAGGCGCTGGCCCAGCTGTCTGCCCACCCCAGGGGTAGCAGGGATTGGTGAGATGGGGAGGGGAGGGTCAGAGCTGAGTGGGGGCAGCCAAGTTCTGGCGGCAGAGGATCCACCAAGTGTGTTTGCATGTATCTGCTCACCCACCTTGGCACAGCTGGCATGCCTGACCCTGGCTTCAGCCATACTCTGTGGGGTGGAGGGGGGGTGGGCTGGGGCCTGGGCCTCGGAGTGCTCTGAGGGACGGGGGGCTACACCCTGAGGGTGGCTTCTCTGCCCACGGGCACCAGCCCGCTCGGTGGTGGCGGCGGCGGCGGGCACACTGCGGTAGTGGCTGGAGCATTCACTTCTGGGAGAGAGGGAGCGAGGCTGGCTGGAGGAATTTTAAAGATTGCTGCAGGCAGGAGGGTCTCGGGAACCCCGTGGAGCAGGCAGTCATGCAGAAGTAATCCTATCGCGGCCTGGCTGGAGGGCGGGAGAGGACCGGGCGGGAGAGGAAGGGTGGGCTGCTGCCCCTCTCCCGCCTCAGCCCCTGCCCCACCCGGCCATAGAGGGAGCCAGGGACCCCGGGACCTTCCCTGAAGAGGCACCTTGACTTCTCCGTTCCGCCGTGGCATGTGCCCCCTGGAGGGGCAGCACTGCAGCTGTTGCTCCGCTCCAAGCTGTGGGTTTTATAAATAATGCAGCTCCGAGGTGGGGGCCAGCTCAGCCCCGGTCACCTTGGGTCACCCCGTGTGCTGTCTCCAGCTGGCAGTCCGGTGGCAGAGCCCCCTCCCGTCCGTCCAGCCTGCTCTTTCGCTGTGTGAGCTGGCCTCTCTGGGCTGGGCAGGGGCAAAGGGGTGGAAGGACCCAGGAACTCCTGTCCTCTTGTTCCCCTCCCAGCCCTCGCAGGTCAGCGGGCACCGGGCTCCTGCGGACGCAGCCCGGGGAGGGACGGCCTGCTTTGTCCAGGCCGCACCCATCCCAGCCCCTCCATTTTGCAGATGGAGTAACCGAGTCCAAAGAGGGAAGGATGGCCAAGGCCAAGCCGCTGATGAGCACCTCCTTCCCGCCCCATTCTGCTGTCACTCAGGCTCCTCTCAGCTCAGCTAAGAGCAGGGCTGGGGGGGGGCGGGGGATGTTTGGAAAAGTGGTTGCAGGCTGAGAGGTTGCTATGGTGATGCTGCAGGATGCTGAGCTGAAGTGGGGGTCCCACAGGGTCTCTGGGGCCCCCAGCTCCACACCCCTGTGGTCTTCTCCTCCCCATCTTCTGCTCCCCACCCAGACGCCTGTCAGGCAGCTCAGAGACAGGCTGGGGTGGGTGACAGGTGGTGCAGGTGATGGGCTGGGTGGGTGACGAGCTGGGTGGGTGACAGGTGGTGCGGGTGCGAGGCAGGCAGGTGACAAGCTGGGTGACGGGCCCCGCCGATGACAGGCGGGGGGTGTGATTGCCGGGGATGCTGTCTCCCGGCTGGTGGCCTGTTGCCACGCCCCACCCTCGTGCGTGCGCACAGACACAGACTCTGGGCACAGAGCTTGGGGCGAAGATACTAATGAGGCTTGTTATGTGCGGAGGGGCAGGTGCCCAGGCTCACTAATGAGGGTCCTCTAACGAAGAGGGGAGGCAGCTGGGGACTCCGAGGAGTTTGGTTGGCCCTTCTGGGCTGAGACCCTGGGGTCCCCGTCTGGCTGGAGGAGCCGTTTCCCCCCTCAGCCTGGCCACTCGGGTTTATGCTAGCACTGCCACACTGTGGCCTGCCCTTCTGGGCTTTTTCTCATGCCAGCTTACCAGCCTTAGGCGGGAGGCACTGTTACCCATTTTGCAGATGAGGAACCTGAGGCTGAGAGAAGGCCAGGGACCTCACATAATAAGCTTCTGGAACTTTAGTCCCAGTCCTTCTGTTCTTTCTACTCTTTTTTTTTTTTTTTTTTTAATTTAATTGATTTTTTTACAGAGAGGAAGAGAGGGGGATAGAGTTAGAAACATCGATGAGAGAGAAACATCGATCAGCTGCCTCTTGTACACCCCCTGCTGAGGATGTGCCAGCAACCAAGGTACATGCCCTTGACCGGAATCGAACCCTGGACCTTTCAGTCCATGGGATGACGCTCTATCCACTGAGCCAAACTGGTTTCTGCTGTTCTTTCTACTCTTAACCTCCAACAAGACTGAGGCCTCAGTCCAGACCCAGGCTCCATCTCAGAGCTCCAGCCTCTCTCTCCCGGAAAATGGCTGGAGGGGTAGCCACCGCAGGTCCTTCAGTTCTGACTTGGGTGGGTGGCTTCTGGGGCTTTTCCAGGTTAGCTGCTGCGGCCCCGCCCCGTCTGGCCCAGATTCTGGGCGACACCCCTGGACTGGAGAGAGGGCAGGGCTTGGTGCTGAGGGAGCTGAGCTGAAGGGGGGACACCGGGGTTTCTGAGCCACTTCCTGTTTCACGCGTGGGGAGGCCTGGAGAGGAGCTCACACACCCGTGAGCTGCGGGCCCCTTGGGATCCGGGTCTCCTGCCTGTTGGAAGGGCGGGGCTGGGTGTGGTACCAGGGCTGGGAGGCACCTTCTCCAGGGCCCCACCCACCAGCCTCCTTCTTCCCTGGAGGCTGTGCGCCCTCAACTCCGGGGAGGGTGCAGGGTGCTGACACTGCCTCTAGGGCCACGCTCCCCCCCCCCCCCCCCCCCCCGGATCTGGGCTCCTGGAACTCATTGGGGTGGAGACACCCTAGCAACAGCTGATGAGTGGGTTGGGGCCTTGATACTGGCCTGGGGCCACAGCATGACCCTGGCAGGACCAGGCTGGTGCTGGGGGGCTCGGAGGGGGATTTAAGGGAAAAGAATTAAGCTCATGAATCTTGGACCCGCTCAGTTTTCCTCCTCCACCACCTTAATCTCTCACCAAACCTGCTCCCCAGTTGCTCATCCAGGGCGGGGGGGGGGGGGGGTGTAAGAGAGTCCACCTGCCCACTCCCCTCTCCCTCCAACTGGTGCTCACCCACTTCTGAAATGGCACCCGTGCACCCGTGGGGGGGGAGTCACAGTCCTGCGGTTGGGTAGGATAAAGACCTTGTGTGTCACTCGGGGATGTGCCTCTGGTTCACAGTGGCAGGCAGGGCAGAGGGCTTCCACGTCCCCGTTTCCTCAACGTGGGGTTTGAAATTCTCTCCCGGTGCCTGTCTGCTCACCCAGGAAGGAGCCCTGAGACCCAGAGGGACTGCGCAGCCGCGGGACGCATGGCCCTGTCTTCGGAAGCCCCGGTCTGAGAGGAGCACAGCCTTGGCCTTGGGAGCCCTCGACCCCAGAGGTGAGGTCCAGAATCCAGGCCGGTGTGTGCCGAGGTTCCGGGGGGGGGTGGGCGGCCTTTGCTGGGTTTCTGAAGCAAAGGCCGGGGCTGGGGGAGGCCGGAGGAAGGGTAGTGGTTGGCTCGGGGGCTGGGAGCCATCTTTGTTTGGGGGCAGGCGCCTCGAAGGGTCTGGCGTTCCCACAGGCCTGGGCAGCAGGAGGCTGGAGTTCTGGGGCCCTCCTGCCTCCCCAGGGAGCTGGCTGCTGCCTGGCCCTGGGGACCCAGGCATCCTGGCGAGTGAGGGCGGGTCTCCAGCAGGCGGCCTGCCAAACCCTGCAGCCTGCTCACCAGGAATCTTGTTGCTGAGAGATGGAAAATCCCGGCTGGGCCTGCAGCTCTTCCCTCCCCTCCGGGAGGAGGAGGGGCCCCGAGAGTCCTTCCTGCACCCCCTCCCATCTGGGGCCGGGCCCTCCGCAGTGGGTGGGGCTGGGGGCCCGGGACAGGCCTCTGAGGCTTGGTCACATGTCCTGGAGCCCAGCCCAGCCCGCAGTGGGCACGAGGGCACTCCGGGCCTGGTGCGGCAGAGGAGGAGGAGGGGCGGAGCGCTGAGACCAGAGTGGGCCTGGGTGGGGGCCGTGCCTGGCCCTGGCCCCGGCCCCACGGGTTCCCCCAGGGCGGAGGGTGAAGAGTCGGTTCTCTCCTTGGACAGGAAGACGAATGATCCCATTATGGGAGCGTGATTTTATTCCACGTGTCATGGAGTCTGAGATTAACTTGCTCACCAGTCTGTGACAAACCCCTCACACCCAACACACACACACACACACACGCACACGCACACGCACACGCACAGGCACAGGCACAGGCACAGAAACAACACATATCCTTCCTTGGTCTCACAAACGAATATCCCACAGACATAGATAACAATTTTCCTACCACAGTCTATGGCAGAGTCTCCCACACAGAGACAGACACAAGCGCGTGCTCACACTTAGTTATCCCGAAATCTAGACCTACAGCCTCCAAGCACAACATGCCCCACTCACAATAAGGCCACATGGACACACAAATACACAGGCATCCGGGGGGATGCTCACAGACCTGCTTAGACAGGCACAGATCAAGGACACACGGTCCCCCTCAGACACAGATACACTCAGCCCCACACACACCAGACACAGCCATGCAGGCGGGCATAGACCGACAGCCACACACACTGAGACAAAGGCCTGGTACACACGGAGACAAAGGCAGGCACAGACACACAGCGGCAGCCGCACACAAGCACAGGCGTGCACACCCGGACACAGACAAAGACAAATAAATGCCCAGAGGTTTTTCCGTGGACAGATGTAAGGCGCGCACACATCTGGGCTCCCTCCTCGACCTCCCCGCCTGGGGATATGGTAATCTGGTGCCTGTGGTTCCAGGAGGAGCTTTGAGGAGCCCTCTGCGCAGTCGGAGCCCCCCGCCCCGGGCCCGGGGCCAGCCCCCACCTCGGGCGCTGGGCCCGTGACCGAGGCCGTGGCAGCCACGCCCTCAGCAGAGCCGACCTTTCGTACCTTGTCCTCCCCACTGGGCGCCCTCACAGGCCACCATCTCCTCTGCACATGCTCTTAGCACTCCCACACTTACATTTCTCACCCACACCCCCCTCAGGTGTTCACCCCCTCCCCCAAGGAGACATATACAGTCTCCAACACATACATACACTCCGCCTTCACGGCATACACCCTTCTCTTTCACGGACCCAGCACCCCGATAATACACAGAGGCTCTCCACACCCTCACCTCTCACTCACCCTCCTTCATGCACCTCACCTTCTCTTTCACAGGCTGATTCCAAATGCAGAACATACACACACATGCATCCTCACGCACCACTTTCTCACACGTGCGCGCACGCACACACGCTGCAAGCCTCCCCCACACCAGCACTGCCTCTCACAGACACTCCCTCTGCCAGACGTCTGTCCCTGCGCCCACTGCGTCCATGGCCTTCCTTGCTGGCCCAGCCTCTTCCCCTTCACCTCCAACCCTGCATTCTGTGGGCTTGTCAGCTCTCCATTTAGTCAACAGTTATGTAGGGAACATTCACTTACTCATTCAACGAACGTTGATCGAGCACTGATTTTGTGTTAGGCATTGGGGATACTGCGGTGACTCAGGCCTTTCCTTCGTGCAGCTCTCAATGTTGTGGCCAGTTTTGTCTGTTGCTTGACTCGCATGACTAGATTCTAAGATACCCTTTGATACCTTAGAGCAGTGTTTCCCAAAGTGTGGTACGCGCACCCCCAGGGGTACGGGAGGAGTCTGGTGGGGATATGCACTGCACCGTGCTTAGCTGTGCCTAATTCTACGTTCTCATGAGTACGAGGGGTACTCAGCGTTATGGAAATTATAGAAGGGGTACACATATGTCAAAAGCTTGGGAAACACTGCCTTAGAGCACATGTGTCAAACACAAGGCCCTCGGGCCAAATCCGTCCCGCCAGGCCTTGCAATGTGGCCCGCACCGTGCTGTCATCACTGCACTCCGCTGCGTTTCCATCACAATGACAGTTTATGACTGTTCAGTAAACCATTCGGCCCGCGATTTAGCCTGGATTTTAGATTTTGGCCCCTTCTCTGATTGAATTCGACACCCCTACCTTAGAGGATGTGAAGAATGTGTAGGAAAAAATATGGGAAGGGTCTTCCAGGCAGAGGAAATAGCATGTGCAAAGCCTGGAAACGAATCAAACCATTATACAGGGGTAGGCAAAGGTAGGTCTACACTTGTGAGTACGTGAGACAGTTAATATCAAGCTACTGTAATAATCATGACCTGCATATCTTTTTCCATACGAACAACTGTAAGCCTACTTTTGCCCACCCTGGTGTGCTGGGACGAGGGGGTGATGTGCAGAGACTCGAAGAGAAGCTGCGAGGAGAACAGGCCGGATGTCCCGGAGTTGAGATGCCACGCTCGGAGGTTTGGATCTTGTCCAGTGGGCCACACGAGCCACGGGAAGTCTTCAGGGACAGGATAGGGTGGGGAGGGAGTGGAGGCAGGGGGCTAGTGGAGAGGTCTTCGTAGTCCATATGGGAGAGGAGGGTGGTCTGGCCTAGAAGAGGCAAGCAGGATGGGGGAGATTCATTTGGAAGCAAGAACCGGTGGAGTTCCAGTTCCTGAGCTGGAACCCCGGAAAGCGTCCCACAGACTCTCACCTGGGTCCGTCGTGCGAGGAAGGGGCAGTGCGGGAGCCAGGCTTACAGGAAAGGAAATGCTTAATAAGTAATAGCCAGTTGTCAGTTACCTGTAGGACATGGGAGACCTCCGATGAGGGAGAGATTGACGAAGCACCTCTGGGTGCTGGGGACAGTGCCGGGTCCTGGCCCAGAGGCGAGAGGGGCTGCCGGTTCAGGAAGCTCACGGACTGACAGCCCCAGCTCAGGCGGGGGCAGGGAGGCCGGGCATCGGGGTGGGAGGGGGAAAGCGTCCTGGAGGATAAGGAGGGTGAGGCGGCCCCTGTCAGGGCTCTCGGGTGCCTCGTGGAGGAGCGGGCATGGAGTCGGACCCTGAGGAGGCTGGTGGGCTCAGCAGGTAGAGGTGGGGCGAGGGGCTTCGGGGGGAGGGAAGCATGTGAACAAGAGCTCAAGGGCGGGTTGGCGAGGCTAGCGCGGCTCTTGTGTTGTCGGCCACACGGAGGGGAGTCGGGAGTTGTGGGGTGGGATTATGGAGGTGAGGCAGTGTGGGTGGCTCAGAGGGATGGCAGCATGAGGTAGAGCTGCACCCTAGAAAATACCATGGCGTTTTTTTTTAAATACCACGTGTTGGCGGTGACATGGAACATGCCCATTAGGCATTCTGCTCCAGGCTTTGCTGCTAAGCCATTGATGGTGGCCCTCTTTGGTCTCGGTGTCCCCCTCTGTAAAATGAGGCCGTTAGTCTTGCAAGGAGGGAATCGTGTGTCATGTCCTGAGGGTTGACCTGCCTGGCCCTGGGCATCTTCCGGCCTGGGAGTCGGGGCCTCCGCCTTGCTTTCTTCCTGCGCATTCTGAGGGAAAGGGAAGAGGGAGGTGAGGGGTTTCCCAGAGACAAGTTTTGGGTGCTTCATGTGAGGGGCCAGGCACTCCTCATGCAGGGAGGGGTCTTTGCCGGCTCCGACTCCAAGCCCAGCAGGGACCTCGAAGAGAAGGCAGAGCCCCTTCCCTCTGTCCTGACCCGCGTGACTGTCGATGAGGGCCATGCGCCTCCTGGCCCAGGGGGTGAGGACCCTCCCTCCCCGCTGACCAAGGAGCAGGGCGTGGGTTCCGGAATGGGGGTGAGGAGCCAGGAAGCCAATCTGGGGTTGACAGAGCCAGGTGAAGGCCTGTGGGTAGCTGGGAGTCGTGGTGTAAGGCAGGTTCCAGTGACAACCCCCTCCCATTCTGGCTGCAAGGGCCCCTTTAGGCATCATACCTGTGAGGTGGGGCTGGGAGAGAATTAATTTCCTGTGCTATTTTAATTTTGCTGTATTTAATTTGCTGTTTATTTTAATTAATTAACGGCAGGTAATCGTTTCTCGTAACGTGCTGCCGCCGGCTCCTCTTCCCTTTCAGAGGGCGGAGGGCCAGGCCCGCCGATGGCTGAGTGAGCCGTGGCGGGGAGGAAGGGCCGTGGGGACATGTCCCTCCTCCCCTTTGCCTCTCTTCACCCAGGAGTCCTCTTCACTCCCCCTGCTTCTCTTCCACAGGGGCCCTCTCCTCCCCTGCCCTCACGTACGGTCCCTCCTGCTGCTCCCCCTCCACTCCATGTCTGCTTCGGAGTCTCCGATGCAGTAACTTGGTGAAGGGAGGCCTGACATGAGACCCCGGCCTGCTCCCCGGTGATCAGTATTTTAATCCTAGGGCGGTGCTTTAAAAGGGGCAGGGAGCTTGGCTTGCACCCTAAGCACTGTGCAGGGAAAACTTTAAAAGTGAAGGTTTTTTTTTTTTGTTTTGTTTTGTTTTTAATATATTTTATTGATTTTTTACAGAGAGGAAGAGAGACTGAT